TGTGTCTAAAGTGTGTCTTTTAATTAATCCATAGCCCTCTCAGGATTCTCTAATACTCACTTAGAGTCCTGATATGTGATTTAAAGTTAATACGTGTTATCTGCAGATGAAGAAGCCTCTTAAATCCTCCGGAAGAAAACCTTCCACTACTTGTCCGGATCCTGCCTCATTATTTGGGCACAGGATGTTCTCCACCTCCTCAGTGTGAAGGCAGATAGACTGTCGGTAATGCGTTTCTTATTATCTTGGAGAGTTGACAAAGTTTGTCCTTTTCAAAAAAATCACATCCTACTTCCTACAACCAGCAGAAGGATTGGGACATTCCCTCTCTTGCAGGTATATAACCATGACCTACTTTTTATGGCAGAGTTATTAGACCTCTAAGATAATGTACCATGTTTTAATGCATGCCAGACCTTGGCTGAAATATCGATTCTTCTCTCCAAGCTTTTATTACCCTCTGAGTGGGCTCTCTCTCTCTCTCTCTCTCTCTCTCTCTCTCTCTCTCTCTCTCTCAGGACTCGTCCTGGCTAAACCCACAAGGATTCATAGCCATGAAATTGCTGATTGCTGTTGAGGTTTGATTTATAAAACGGAGAAAGAGCTGTTTACTTTTCATTTGGCCTGAGCGTTCTCAAACGCCTCGGCTGGGGCATAAAATGAAAGTGTAAATCTCACCGTTGTAAAGTAGAAAAAGGACCAAAGTCAGGAAGGGAGGGACGAGAGCGTCGGGGAGGACGGGGAGGACGGGGAAGGTGACGGAGTTGATCTTGGTCTGAACGGAGCTCTGGACGAACAAAGTTAATAGAAATTTTATTTGGTCTATTGAACTGACATTCAATAGACCATCCCCCGTCCCCCGTTTCCCCAAAAGGGATGGCTGACCCAGAGCCTTCTCTCACCCCTCTCTCTCTCGCTCTCTCTCACTCTCTCTCTGTCTCTTTTCAATTATTCATACCCTGGTCTCGACACATGCCTGCAGTAAGCCTCCGGATACTCTGTCAACCGACACCACCCCCGGTTTGTCTGACTGCCGTCTCACTATCCTCCCCCGTATTCCTCTAACTCCATTTCCCCATCCTCCGTCTTCACACTCGCCAGCTATCCTCGGATACACACACACACACACACACACACACAGATAGCGAGGCGGGGATAAACAACAAGAGCAGGTTACATATTTATCCTGTAATCAAACATTGCCTTTCCAAACTATGTATTTTTCAATCAGCGGTGAACCAACTTGAATCCCCAATTTGGTATTTGTGTCTCCTCTGCCATTATGTTGGCCACGTCAACTTTTTTCACACTCATTGACTGCCTTCGACCCGACAGATTCAAATGAATAACGCTGGCTTAAAGGAAAGCCGGATAGCGTTGCTAGTGCTTTAGCTGTCCTTCGGTTATCACCACGGTGGCTGGCACCTGTTTATCCCTCCATCCGATGCTCTGCCAGCAGATAAGTGGAGCGCTGCTGTCCTTGACTCCCTGGAGACTGAACTAGTGCCCGGGCCTGATTTTGTTGTACTGGGGAGCGAGCCAGAGAGTCGTGGACACACACACACACACACACACGCTGCCACCTGCTTATTAAGTTGGATGGTTCCCTCATTAAGCCAGTTGGGCAGAGTGGAGTTTGAGTGGGCTTTGAGTGGACGGGCCCACTGCGCTCTGGCCCTCAATGCTCTGCTTGAGTCGAGGTGAGGTCGACACGACCGTCACTGAGGAACAATGTGTTGTCTCCGCCATATGGTACACAAGGGTAACAATACAGATTTATGAGCATGGATCCCCACTCCACTCAAGAAATGTTTAGCTTGTTGGTACTCAGGTTAAACCTGAGTTTCACGTGTGAGCGTGATTTTAGTTTAGAGGCCGGTCGTTGTCCGCTATGCAACTTAAACAAACACTGGTCTCCGGAGGGAGAGTCCCATGATTTGTGATGGACTAATGCATGCTTTGATTAAAGGTATTTGTGATGCCTCAGAAACAAACGTAATCTGGGAGAAAATACGTAATAGACAATACAGTTTCGTTGTGGAGGAAGCTAGTTATCAGGAGACTAGGCTGCAATAAGCTATTGTACCCAGTAGCCAATGTACATCAGACCAGACGAATTTTTAATCTTCTGTATACCTTTTCTGTACAAAGACAGTGAGTGAAATCTACCATGCCTCAATCTGAAGCCAGGTTTGGTCCTCAAATGTTAATCTCGCGTTTGCCAGAGCTGCATTTTATCAACCTCAAAGAGGCCAGATTAGTTGTGAGTGAATCTTACGCAATCAAGTATCAAGGATCAGTTTGGTATCCATTGACCACCTTTGTGCTTGACTTTCTTCATATTAGTAAACAAGATGGTCAGTTTACAGCAGTGTCTCTAGAGTATCACTGTGTTGGTTCCAATGACAGATGATGTCCACCTGCCTACTGTAGCCCCTCTAATAGCTGATGTTCAGAGTTGTACTTTATTGACCCCGGTGCTCCTAAAATCCAGGGGGTTCCTCCGCTCCTTCGCCCGGTGCTGTCGTGCTTAATGAGGCCAGATGCTGGCTCGTATCAGGGCCCGGTAGCTGTTCTGGCAACCTGCTCATCTGTTGGTTCGCAGTGTAGAGGGAGCCATTTTCAGGGTCTATCATTCATCATACATCCTATTTTTAATTACATGGAGTTGCTCAGAGGTTCATTCAGGGGTCTGTGTTCATGTAGTCATTTTTAATATGGATTGTTTTGGGTCATATTAGTCTGTTTCGACCACCAATACTTGTTATATGCACCGGAAACACTTACGTTGGTCCGTATCACATTTATTGTAAAGAAAAACCTCCTGCAGGCGGCTTCATTTCCTCAGACAGGTTTCTATGACTTGAAGCCCGGTTGTGCTGTTTGTCCTTTACCTTCAACACCACCCCATTTAACACCATTAACCGAGCATGGCCTCTCTTCACTGCCAAGCGCCTTTAGAGACTGGGGCCTCTTGTTGGATGGCGGTTAACTGTCACAACTGGCCAATAATCCTGCAGAGTAATGTTTTCACTCAGTGGTGATTGCAGAGTCTTAATGGTGAATTAAAACTTCAATGATCTCAAATGACTTCATGTTACGCTGTAATAAAGGCCCATGATGTGTCTGGCACAGGACACCTCATGCAGTTCATTGTTATTACACCCTGTCCCTACCTTTTCCTTCAGTTACCACTGGCTTTATCAATAGTGTTTCAGTCTGTCAACAACTGTTTCCTGTGTGGCTGATGGTTCACTTTTACAACCGTAACTGACTTTAGCTTCTATCTTTATATCTTTAACCTGTTTCCACTGCTGAATCAGTATTACATCCTGGATATATCCTTCAAACACGACGTAGACACTTCTGTCTGCTTCTCTCTGAAATCAGACAGAAACAAGATCATATTTATTCAGGGAGTGCAGTTAGTGACAGTGTGGGCTCTGTGGTAGCTCTGACAGCTTGATGGAGTAGCAGCGGGGGGGGGGGCAAGGCTTAGCGAAGGATCAATTGTAAACCACTTTGTGCTGTATTCTGTGCATGAAAGTTGCGAGATAAAGCCAATTCATTCATTCAGTGTATTGCTTTTTTCTGGCCCTTACAAATTTGGATCAGCCCTCCGCTTGATGTCGGATCATCTGGACCAGACTTAAGACTCATTTTCTGTAGAGGGGCATGTGTGCGACTCTCTTGCTATCCCACGCTGTGTTTGTCAACTCTCTTTTTATATATATTTTATTTTTCCACCCTATCATGATTCAGACAGACAAATACACAACGATACGCTGAACAAACACGAATGCCATCTCGTTCCGACTCCTCTGGCTGGGTCTCTACCTCCTGCATCAAATCCAGCCTTTAATATCAGCCGGCCCAGAGCAGAGCACAAGCAATGAAGCTGTCATGCTGTTTTATCCAAACAGACTCCTCCGCCCCGAACGCTGTCTGCCTGCAAAGCCTCTGTGATCCAACCCTGAAACTAGCCAACTTCCCGTAGTCGCGGCATCACCTCTCCCCATGTTTTCATTACCTCTCCTTCATTCAGGATGTTTTTGAGCATCTCTATATCCCAAAAATCCTTCTTCACTCTCCCTCCTCTCCATTCACTTTCCCCTTCCTTCCTCTCCCATGACCTCTCTCCAAGCCCCCAAGGGACTCACTGCGTTGTTGTGATGGCAGAGGGTTGCGGATCACCAGCTGCAGTTTTAATGATTTTGCCCCCAGGCACAGATCAACCGGAGAAATACAGTTACCATTTTTCAACAGATTGGGAACTCTCACCCCTGCGACGCCTCTGCGAAATATGTGTGAATATGTATGAATATGCATGCGAGTGTGCACATTGCGCGCAAACATTTGGACTTCATGTTGATATTGCATCTAAGAGGTGCCGTCTGACATTGATTGGGGCGCTTCTGCACATACATTAAGATGGATTTGCACACTGTTTTTGTAGTTACTAGCAACACGGCTGGTGAGCGTTGCTGTTGAGGAAGAAAGCTCCCCCCCCCCCCCTCCACCCTCTCTCTCTCTCTCTCTCTCTCTCTCTCTCTCTCTC